GCATGCATCAAGTACCAGTGGAAGAAAAAAGAGTTTAATTCTGATAAGGCTGCAGTTAAATGCATTGGTTTTCTTCCAAAGGACCTGGATTTGATTCCCAGCATCCACATGGCAGCTCACAACCATCTGTATGTAACTCCAGTTCCAGCGAATCCAACACCCACTTCTACTCTCCACAGGCACTAAAAACCCTAACCATAGATTTCAACTGCAGGGAAGTAAAGTGGCAGCTACTACACAGCCCAGCAAAGGGCAGCCCACTTATCCCGGAGACATCAAAACTTAGGTGCACATAAACCCTACACAGGGAGGCCTGTAGCCAATAATTATATTTGTAATATCCCAAACTGAAGCCACCCAGATGTCCATCAGCAAATGAATAGTTCTCTAACTGTGGTACCCATACTGTGGAGTACTGCTGAGGGGTAAAATATCAATTTACTGATGTATGGAACAATCTGAACGAATAATCCTCAACCCAAGGTGATGATAAGCTACATGATTCCATTCACATAACGTTCTTTTATTTATATATTTTTTGAGACATGGTTTCACTGTGTAGCCCTGTCTGTTCTAGAACTAGCTCTACAGACCAGGCTGGTTTTAAACTCAAAGAAACTGGCCTCAAACTCACAGAGATAGTAACATTCTTGAAAAAGCAAAATTGTAGAAATGGAAACAACGTTAAAGTACAGAAGGGCTAGGTGAGGAAAGAAGTAGGTATGACTATAAGGGGCATAATATGAAGGACAGTTTGAGAAGATGGATGTTCTGTAGCTCACCTGCATTATTGTCAACAGACAGATAAAGGCCAGGTCTTCCTGAATAACATCCTAATGCCCCAAAGCTGCCACGCTGTGCACAGTTCTGCAGTATGCCACCAGGAGAAGCTAGGTAAAAGTACTTTCTATGTATTTGTTTTTTAGCACTGCTCGTGAATCCACAATTACTATTTTAAGTGGAATGCTGCTAAAGCAGATTTATGGTGAATTAACAATACTAAATAAAACATCTTATTGAAACATTAGATGATGTTTCAAGTCAATGGCCTCACCAATGGTGGCACACCTTAAATTCCAGTACTCAGGAGGCTGATATAGGCAAATCTCTGAGTTTGAGGCCAACCTGGTCTACAGTATGGGATCCAGAAAAGCTAGGACTACACAGAGAAAGCTTGTCTTGAAAAACAAAACAAAATAAACAAAATAAAAGTAACTGTTAAAGGACTGGAGAGATGGTTCAGTAGTTAGGAGCACTTGTTGCTCTTGCAGAGGACCTGGGTTCAGTTCCCAGTACCCACGTGGAAGCTCCTAATGAGCTGTCACTCCAGGGCAGTGGCTCTTCCCTGAGATCTCTCCCCCACCTTTTCACAGTCATCTGTACTTCTCTCGCTGTCATCTGGGGAACTAATGCCTTTTTCTAGCCTTCACAGGTGCCAAACATGGACACATGACATACAAGCAGGATAAAATTAAATAAAAAGAAGTCTTTAAAAAACTGTAAAACAGCACATTAAATTCAAAAGTAAGCAGAAGAAAGGAAAAACAAATCAGAGTTAAGCAGGTAACAAAAAGCAAAGAGAACCAGTAAAATCAAAAGCAGGTTCTTTGGAAATTATGACAGTTAGCAGTTCCCTAGCCTAGAGTTCAGCGACACAGAGGAGCTGGAGTTGACAGCCTGCAGCTCCCTCCTTTAAACTCTATGTGAACACAGCAATGCCTATATTGTCTATGACTTCCTCCATGCTATGGTGGAGTTAAGTAGATGCTACAGTGATCCAATGACCCACAAAGTCATATAGTACCATCTGGGTCCATAAAAGGAAAAAGTTCTCTGTTGGCAGAGTTGTGGAACTGTCGAGTATGACCTCAGAAAAGATCACTGACACTTGACTTGGTCCCCTCATTTGTAAAAGGAAATTACAGTACAAATCTCATGTACAGTGAAGGGAAACTCAACAAGGGTGAGCTATCCACATACTACATTTTAAAGGACTGACCCTTGCCCTGATTCTGGTAGATAACCTCTAAGCTCTTCGAATGTCTTCCCATGTAAGTGTCTGTCTATTTAGGGTTCTGGGACCATGCCAGACAGTGTATGACAATAATATGATTTATTTTAGTGACCTTGACCTCTGTTAGGGTTAAAGCCTGAAGGACTAAGCACAGTCTAGCCTTTGTGACTGATTCGAATACAAACTCCAACACTAAGCTCAGGTGAGCATCTCTGACTGGCAATATTCTTGTGCTATGCCACACACACACACACACACTGAAGACAATGCTGGGGACTCTGTCTGGGAGCCTCTTCCCTTTCTGATTTATTGTTTCACTGCCATCAACGTAACCATGGTGTAACAGCTTCGCTGACCTCTGTGAGTTCTTATTGGTTTATCACTGACCCTAAGGGCCTCATAACATCATATGACAATCCCTGTGAGGTGTTGAAACACTGTTAACAGTGACCAGCTAGCATTTAATAATGGCACCATGTGTTGTCTGTCCAACTGTTAACAGTGACCAGCTAGCATTTAATAATGGCACTATGGCCGGGCGGTGGTGGCGCACGCCTGTAATCCCAGCACTCGGGAGGCAGAGGCAGGTGGATCTCTGTGAGTTCGAGACCAGCCTGGTTTACAAGAGCTAGTTCCAGGACAGCCTCCAAAACCAAAGAGAAACCCTGTCTCGAAAAACCAAAAAAAAAAAAAAAAAAAAATGGCACCATGTGTTGTCTGTCCAACTGTTAAGCAAGCACATTATGGACTTTTTCTTGTTTCTAGAGCACGTCCAGTTCTCACTCATCCTGTTCACTCAGCAGTTATCAGCCTCCGCTCTCCCAGCATTACACAAAATGGACAAAAATTCTTGTCTTTATGGGGTCTTATCCTAGCAGGAGGGGAAAGACAAAGTGCACAGGTGTATTTAGGTGGGCGTACATGGTCTGTAAACATAAAACACTCTGAGACCTGAAATTCTTTGAGTGCCAAAACAATGCTCCAATATTCTGGGAAGATTTCAGAGTTTGGATTTCTTATTACACAAACATTCTAAGGCTGTACGTGGTGGTATCATCTCAGAGATGAAGAAGACTGCCCAGTCTGAGAAGAGCTGGACTACAAAGTAAGACACTATTTCAAAACAAAACCTAGACCAAATTAAAATACAGAAATTCTGAAATCTGATACTTCTGGATTTATGCACTTCAAACAGGGATACTCCACCTGTAGTCTATGCTAGGTAAAGAGAACCACAAGAAGGTGGGGTATGGAACTGGGGAACACTGCAATTTTGGGTTTTACCCAGCAAAGGTTCCTCCTGAGAACAGCAGTAAGACACAGCCTGAAGGAAACAGGAGCATTAGCTGTATCATCTTCTAGGGGGAAGAATACTCCAGGAAGACAAGATTGCATGGATGGGGTCTTAGAGCATGCCTCAAAAACAAGTCTGAAGAGTGGTCAGAGATAAATGCAGAAGGAACAGCAGGGAGATCTGAGGCGACGAAGGGAGGAGGGCTCTGGGGCAGACAGAGCGAGCATGAGGTCATCACAACAGGGCAGACAGAGCGAGCCATGAGGTCATCACAACAGGGCAGACAGAGCGAGCATGAGGTCATCACAACAGGGCAGACAGAGTGAGCCATCACAAAGAATAACATTAGAAGCTTCTGGAGAGTCTAAGGCAGAAGAAAAAAATGACACAAGGAGACCTATGCTGTTCTGAGAATCCCTTATAAGAGGGCAAGGTTAGAAACAGGCTAGGAGGAGACATAATCATTTGTACAGTACAGACATGGACTTGTGCAGTGCGGACAGGCTGGTAAAGCAGACAGTCTCCAGACATCATGTGAAGATAGGATCAGCAGCATCTCATGTAGTCTGTATATGAAGTGAGGATACAAGTCAAGAAAGCTAAAATTTTGAGAAAGATGGTGTTGTCATTAACACAGATGGAGGATAGGGTGGGAGCTGGTTTGTGGTGTGGGGGAAGGGGAGGTATAACTGAGGAATTTTTGTTTTTAGCTGTGTTAGGTTTTAAATGCCTAAGTGGGCATCCCAGTGATGAGAGAGGAGTTTGTGTTAATATAGAAATGGGAGGGAGTTAGCATGTGCATGTAGTGATATTTTGTTTGTGCCCTAACAAATAAAGCTTCCCTGAAGATCAGAGAGTAGAGCTAGCCACTAGGTAACCAGAGAGGTGATGGTGGCTCATACTTTTGATCCCAGCACTTGAGATCTCATGCCTTTGATCCCAGTACTCAGGAGGCACATGCCTTTAATCCCAGCACTAGGGAGGTAGAAACAGGAATATATGGCTGGTGGAGACAGGATCTTGGCCATTCAGACTGAGGATCTGTAGAGACAGGAGCTCAGCCCCTTCCATCTGGGGATCTGGTAGGGGTAAGAAGTCTCTCTAGTGGATGGCTCCTTTACTTCTCTAATATTTCAGTATTTACCCCAACAACTGACTCTGGGTTTTTATTATTAAGACCAATTAGAATTTGTGCTATATATGCATTTGTGGAATAAATTTGGACGGCACTATGCAAGAGAGCAAATCTAGGCAGAAAAATCACTCTTAATGTGCAGAGGTCAGGGAGACTGAGAAAAAAAACCACCCAATTGAAAGGTGGCAGACAAAGACAGAATAAATCAGACAAATACATTCATTCTGGAAACCAAGTGGAAAAGGTTGCAAAGGAAGTGGGAGATGAGGATGAAGACACAGACCCATCAGACCGGGAGGTCTAGTGGGGGCTTGTTGAAATATGGAGCAGCGGGGCTGCGTCCCCAACACCCAGGCCGCTTGGCTAGCTCATGCCAGAAATAACAACACACAAACTGTATTCATTTAAGAACTGCTTGGCCCATGAACTCTAACCCTTACAGGCTAATTCTCGCACCTGGACTAGCCCATTTCTAATGATGTGTGTAAGCACCCCAAGGTGCACTTACCGGGAAGAGTCTAGCCTCCGTCCATCCTGGTGTCTCTGCTCCAGAGAACAGAGCTGTTGGGTCTCTCCAGGAGCAGAGCAGAGTCTGACCTCACTTCCTCTTCCGCCCAGAATTCTATTCTGTTTCCTCCTCCCATCTATGTTCTAAGCTATGAGGCCAAGCAGTTGGTTTATTATAATTAACCAATGAAAAAAAAAATTAACCAATGACCTTCCTCCATCAGGGGCTGAAGACCTTTGCAAGCTGGAGATTAAGAGTACAGAATAAACAACCTGAGAAGCAGAACCACACATCAGAGGGGTGGTAACTATTAAAGGCTTTGTTATATTTAAAGATGAGAAAAAAGTATGTTTATATATTAGTGAAAAAGACTTAACAGTGGAGGAAGAGGAGCTACACCTGGGAGAGAAGCTGGAGCTCTAGGAGGGCGCGGGTGGTGCAGCTGACAGTGTTCTTTCCCATTGACTTTGCTTCTTGGTGAAGAAGGAGAAGGCAAAGTGGTTAGCTTTGCAGAGAGTGAAGAGCATTTCAAAGGTTAAGGAGAAAGAGTATAAAATAGTTGTTCAGGAATAAATTACATTGTGCAAAAGGGTTAGAGAATCACCAACATTATCGGGCAGAATTTTTTTTTTTCAGTGCTGGGGAAAAACTTGGAGCCTTGCAAATCCTAGACTAACACTTTGTCATCGAGCTTCATCCCCATTCTTAGACACAAAATTTAATTAAAGAGTCTAATATCAAAGATTTTTCCTAGCATATAAAAGCAGTAAATTTCAAGACCAGTTTAGGCTTACCTACAATTCCTATGCCTTCTACATCTGTGGATATGTAACTGATGCTGACTTTCATGGCCTATAGGTACTAGCATATTAAAAAGTTTCAGGGAACATCAGATAATATTCAATACGGAGGCAGGAGAATATGTATCATTTTATTTAAAGGTCTTATGTAAGTTTCTGGCAACTTTAGGATATGAAGAAGCTCATATAATCATGCATCACATTCTACTCTGCTCAAGAATTTGCTTATATTGTGCTTACACAGAGCACCAAGAGACCCGTCACCTGGTCAGAATGAAGGGCACTCCTACTGAGTGAAAGTATGTGGTCTGTCTCTTCACAGCACTGCTGAGATGGCTTTCTGTGTTAGCCATCTATGTACCTACGAACACGACACAGGCAAACACAAAAGCTTCTCTGGTACCTTTGCATCCGAGTCAGAAGCTCTTGCTTGTTCACTGAGGTCTCCCAGGTTTTCACTTACAACAGTTTCCTCGGTGGCTTCCAGGGAGATGGCTGCATCTTTAGGGTCATGCTGCGGCTCCTTTGCTGAAGAGAAACAACATCCAACCACACAAATTTTAAACAACCATAAATTCAGAAGCATTCAAGTTCTAACGTCACAAGCACCAAATTAGAACTTCAGCAAGTTATGTAGCTCCCTACTCATTACCAAAATAACTGCATTGTAAAGGAGAAAATGAATTGACAGCGTAATATTTAAGAACCTTTCTTATGTCCCAGACATTTAAAAATATTTTTACTGGCACGTGCCTTTAATCTTAGCACTTGAAGGCAGGAACAGGCAGAGTTCCAGGCCAGCCAGGACTACATAGTGAGACCCTGTCACACATAAACAAACTCTACCCTGACCTACCTTTCTTTCTTTCTTTCTTTCTTTCTTTCTTTCTTTCTTTCTTTCTTTCTTTCTTTCTTTCTTTATTTATTTATTTATTTATTTTTGAGACAGGCTTTCTGTATGTAACTGCGGCTATCCTGGAACTTACGATAAAAACCAGGCTGGCCTCAAACTCACACAACTCCACTTGCTTCTGCCTCCTGAGTGCTGAGATTGATGTGTGTGCCACACCCAGCCATGTTTACATTTCACTTCATGAGCACACACTCATGGTCACTGCAGAAACCAGAGGACAACTTACAAGGCCAGGTCTGGCAGCCATATTACTGGCCCTACAAACACTTTTAAAACTCAAAAGTCAAATAGAAGTTAACATTGTTGTGACTCAGACATCTACATTATGATTAGCTGTTAGTTTTTAATGACCAATTTAGGATCTGATAAAGTTAAAACATTTATTTCAATTTCAAAGAAGTCTGAAAGACTCCAGAGGTCAACTACCTATCTTTTGTAGAGAATGCATAACACTGAATAATTAAATGGAAACTATCTCAAAATATGATCTGCCAACTCATCAGCTAAAATGGAAGAAAACTGACAAACTCTGTCATATTAAGAAGTTTCCATTTTAATAAAGTCACTGAGTAGGCCTGAATAGAGACATACAAATATTATAATACCAAATACTCTTCAAGCATCAAATTTTACCTGATGATAAGGAGGGACAAATCTCCAGTTTCTGCAATCCAGGGTCCAGCAAGGCAATTTCTTTACTACAAAGCAAACAAAACTCAAACGTTGTACCAGGTTTCAGCAGAATTACTCAATCATGAAAGCATGGTGTAACATTTGCTCCTGTGGGCTGAGGGGATCTGGAGAGGTGAGTAAGTGGCCACACGGCTGGATAGCCTGAAGTGCCATTCTCTGGGACAGTCCCAGAGGACTGAATCCAGGCCCCCTCCAATTCCTTAAGCTTTTCTGGCCATCCAGCTGGGTGTGTTCCCTGCTGTTGGGCTTTCTTTACCCCATTCCACCCTGACCCCCAAGCCTGCCTTTTCATTTGCAAGGTCCTTGGATCCCCCAACATAGCCTGATTCAGGGCAGAGGGGATCTGAGAGACTGCTCCAGTGCTAAGGGGACTTAAGAGAGGGCAGACCAAGAAAAACTCCCAAATACACAGCCAGCAACAGCAAGGATTGGACCGAGATGCCAAGACTCTGCTGGCCTCATTTGAAGGAAGAGGGGCAGGCGCCAATGCAAGAATTCCTCCAACATCCTGAAAAGCAATATGCACCAGAATCCAGAGAACACGCAGCAGGAAGACATGAACATCCTAACCCAGAAGAAGTAGAAGAATAGACTTTAAAGGTAACCTTAGGAAAATGATGGAAAACCTTAAACAGGAAATGAAAAACTCCCTTAAAGAAATGGAAGAGAAGACAAACAAAAGTTAGAAGAAATTAATAAATTCTTCAAAGATACCCAAGAAAACCAAGAAAAAGCAATCAAACAGGTAAAGGAAACAGTTCAAGGCTTGAAGACCAAAATGGAGGTAATAAAGAAAACACAAACCGAGGGATGGCTGGATATGCAAAATCTGAGTAAATGAACAGGAACTACAGAGACAAGTATAACCAACAGAATATAAGAGATAGAAGAATTTCAGGGGCTGAAGATACTATAGAGGAAATAGACTCATTGATCAAAAAAAACGTTAAGTCCAACAAATTCTTAACACAAAACATCCAGGAAATCTGGGACACCATGAAAAGACCAAACCTGAGACTAATGGGGTAGAAGAAGGAGAAGAATTCCAGCTCAAAGGCACAGAAAATATATTCAACAAAATTATAGAAGAAAACTTTCCCAAACTAAAGAAGGATATACCTATAAAGATACAAGAAGCTTACAGATCACCAACAGACTAGATGAAAAAAAAATCCCCTTGCCATATAATAATCAAAACACAGAACAAAGAAAGAATATTAAGAGCTCCAAAGGAAAAAGGTCAAGTAACATATAAAGGTAAACCCATCAGAATTACACCTGACTTCTCTATGAAACCATGAAAGCAGAAGGTCCTGGATAGATGTACTGCAGACACTAAGAGACCATGGATGCAAGCCCAGACTACTATACCCAGCAAAGCTTTCTTTCACCATCAATGGAGAAAAGAAGATATCCCATGACAAAAACAGATTTAAACAATACATATCCTACACTCAGCCACACAGAAAGTACTAGAAGGAAAACCTCAACCCAAGGAAACCAACAACACCCACAATAGCACAGACATCTGATAACTCTCCACCAACACAACTCAAAGAAGGGAAACACACAAACACTACCACCAAAAAATAACCGGAGTTAACAACCACTGGTCACCAATATCACTTAATATTAATGGACTCAATTCACCTATAAAAAGGCACAGGTTAAGAGAATGGATACGAAAACAGGATCCAGCATTCTGCTGTTTACAAGAAATACACTTCAACCTCAAAGACAGACAGTATCTCAGAGTAAAGGATTGGGAAAAGGTTTTCTAATCAAATGGACCTAAGAAACAAGTGGGTGTGGCTATCTTAATATCTAACAAAATTGATTTCAAACTAAAATCAATCAGAAGAGATGGAGAAGGACACTTTATACTCATAACAGGAACAATTCATCAAGATGAAGTCTCAATCCTGAATATCTATGCCCCTAATATACAAGCACCCACATATGTAAAAGAAACATTACTAGAACTCAAATCACACATCAAACCCCACACACTAATAGTAAGAGATTTTAAGACTCCTCTCTCACCAATGGACAGGTCAAACAGACAGAAACTTAACAGAAATAAGAGAACTAACAGATGTAATGAATCAAATGGACTTAACAGACATCTAAAGAACATTCTACCCAAACAGGAAAGAATACACCTTCTTCTCAGCACCTCATGGAATCTTCTCTAAAATTGATCACATTCTTGGTAACAAAGCAAACATCCACAGATACAAAAGAATTGGAGTAATACACAATACACCGTGTCTTACTGGCTCACCATGGAGTAAAGTTAGAATTCAACAACAATACCACCCCCAGAAAACCTACAAACTCATGGAAACTGAACAGTCAACTACTGAACCACCCCTGGATCAAGGAAGAAGTAAAGTCTTCCTTGAATTCAATAAAAATGAAGACACAACATGACCAAGCCTATGGGACACTATGAAGGCAGTGCTAAGAGGAAAGTTCACAGCACTGAGTGCCCACATAAAGACAACAGAGAAAGCTCACACAGAGAAAGCTCACGTCAGAGACTTCACAGCACAGCTGAAAGCTCTAGAAATAAAGAAGCAGACTCACCCAGGAGGAGGAGAAGACTGGAAATAACCAAACTGAGGGCCGAAATCAACAAAATAAAACACAGAAAACAATCCAAAGAATCAATGAAACAAAGAGCTGGTTCTTTGAGAAAATCAACAAGATTGGCAAACCCTTATCCAAACTAATCAAAAGGCGGAGAGAGAACACTCAAATTAACAAGATCAGAAATGAAAAGGGGGACATAACAACAGACACTGAGGAAATTCAGAGAATCATTAGGTCTTACTACAAAAGCCTGTACTCCAAAAAATTGAAAAATTTTTTCACAAAGGATAGAGAAGCTGAGAGGGAGGGAAATCAGAGAAACATCACCTTTCACGATAGCCACAAATAGCATAAAGTATCTTGTGGTAACACTAACCAAAGAAGTAAAAGATCTATTTGACAAGAACTTTAAGTCTTTGAAGAAAGAAACTGAAGAGGATACCAGAAAATGGAAAGATCTCCCATGCTCTTGGATTGGTAGGATCAACATAGTAAAAATAGCAATTATACCAAAGCAATCTATAGATTCAAGGCTATCCCCATCAAAATACCAAGAAAATTCTCCACAGACCTTGAGAGAACAATAACAAACTTTATATGGAAAAACAAAAAACCCAGGATAGCCAAAACAATCCTATACAAAAAAAGGAACTTCCAGCCGGGCGGTGGTGGCGCACGCCTTTAATCCCAGCACTTGGGAGGCAGAGGCAGGTGGATCTCTGGGAGTTTGAGGCCAGCCTGGTCTACAAGAGTTAGTTCCAGGACAGGCACCAAAAGCTACAGAGAAACCCTGTCTCGAAAAACCAAAAAAAAAAAAAGGGGAGAAAAGCAAAACAAAAAACATACCTTTCTCTCCATGCGTTCCTCCCGGGTTTCTGCCCTTGTTGGAGGAGGGGCATCTCGAGGGTCCTAGAAACAAGAAAGGTGAAAGAATATAGCAAGGCACACAAACAAGGCAAAGACTCTCAGTTCCCGTGTAAACAGAAGACAGAGGGTAAAAATGTGGTATGTTCCATGGACCAGTGCTGACCAGACTACTGCAGATTAGTGGCAAGGGCAATATAATAAAAGTCTCCACCAGGCCAGGCGGTGCTGGCGTATGCCTTTACTNTCTATCACCATGCACAAAACTCAAGTCCAAATGGATTAAAGACCTCAATATAAATCTGACCACACTGAACCTGATAGAAGAGAAAGTGGGAAGTAGTCTGCAACACATGAGCACAGGAGACCACTTCCTATAACCCCAGTAGTACAGACAATAAGAGCAACAATGAATAAATGAGACCTCCTGAAACTGAGAAGCTTCTGTAAAGCTTTTGTCTTAATGACAAAAAGGGAATCTACTGAATGGGAGAAGATCTTCACCAACCCCACATCAGACAAAGGTCTATCTCCAAAATATATAAAGAACTCAAGAAACTAGACATTAAAATTCTAAATAACTCAATTAAAAAAATGGAGTACTGAACTGAACAGAGAATTCTCAACAGAAGAATTTCAAATGGCCAAAAGATACTTAAGGACATGTTAACTTTATTAGCTATCAGGGAAATGTAAATCAAAACAACTTTGAGATACCATCTTACACCTGTCAGAACGGCTAAAATCAAAAACACTAACGATAGCTTATGCTGGAGAGGATGTGGCATAAGGGGAACGTTCATCCATTGCTGGTGGGAATACAAACTTGTGCAACCACTTTGGAAATCAGTGTGGCGGTTTCTCAGAAAATTGGGAGACAACCTACCTCAGGATCCAGCAACACCACTCTTGGGAATACACCCAAGAGATGCCCAATCATACTACAAAAGCATTTGTTCAACTATGTTCACAGCAGCATTATTTGTAATAGCCAGAACCCGGAAACAACCTTCCATCCCTCAATGGAAGAATGGATAAAGAAAGTGTGGCACATCTACACATTAGAGTTCTACTCAGCGGTAAAAAAGCAATGACATCTTGAAGTTTGCATGCAAATGGATGGAAATTGAAAACACTATCCTGAGTGAGATAACCCAGACCTGAAAATATGAATATGGTATGTACTCACTCATTAGTGGATTCTGGCCATAAACAAAGGACATTGAGCCTATAGTTCGTGATCCTAGAAAAGCTAAGTAATAAGGTGAACCCAAAGAAAAACATATATAGATCCTCCTGGAACTTAGAAGCAGACAAGATCGCCAGGCAAAAGTTGGGAGCATGGGGTGGTGGTGGAGTGGGGGAAAGGGGAGGGGGAGAAAGGGAGGGTTGGGAAGAGCTAGGGGAGTGGGATGATTGAGATGGAGGAAGGACAGATATGGGAGTAGAGAAGGAGATATCTTAATTGAGGGAGCCATTTTGGGGTTGGCAAGAGACTTGGCTCTGGAGGGGTTTCCAGGAATCCATGGGGATGACCCCAGCTAGG